AAAGCAGCGCAGCAGCATCCTAGTGAAGCAGCGGCGAAGGTCCTACACGGGAAGTCTAAAACAACAGCCACGCACTCACAAGCAAGGAGAGTTCCAAGTTCTTTAACTTAACCGGTGTAATGGAATTGCATGATTTGCAGTTCATTGTAAAGTAATCAATCTTCTCCTTCGATCTTGTTCAAATAATTCTCTAAATGTACTGATGTTTTGACATCATAGTTTTTCGAAAGATTCAAATAATTTAGTTATCATAATATGTTGACTCGCTTTGAATTGCTGATCAGAGCATGATCATGTGATCTGATCATGCTGTGCGCCATTTTTGCTATGGTTCTTTGATGCGCGTGAGGGCATGAACCTCGCGGCATCAGGCTGGCTTTTGTTGATCGTTTTACTCTCCTTTTAGACTAATTCCTGTAAACAAGCCGTATTTTGGGGTCTTGAGTGTGTGGTCGTGAGGGATCGAGGGAGCCTACAGACGGAATGGTAGTGCTCTAGGGTCTGACCTAAAGTAGAAAGGAATTGGATTACAGATTTGGTACCGAAACCCACGTGGATGCCCCGGAAAATTCGTCATGGTCGTGGAAATACAGTCCAAAAACAGCAAAGTGGTAGTGCTGGTTGTGAGCAGACTGCTCAAAGTTCGAGTGTCAGTGCTGTCAGTGTGACAAATTTGGACGTCACGGACGATAAAGGAACTGTTGCGCGTGCTGGTGAACACCCTGTATGCATCATGTCCTCCAAATTTGATTCGTATTTGAAACAGTATCGTGGAGCTCGCGATGACTTTGATGTCTTTTGGAGAAAGTTTATGGTGGCTGCTCAACTGCAACAATGGACAACAGAGGAAAAGCGAATGGCACAGATGGAGATGCCTTTTTAGTGTGGGATGAGCTCTCTTATGAGGATAAGAAAAAAGAGAACAGTGTGAAACAACGGCTGCGTGATGCCTTCACGCTGTCGACAGGCCAGGCGTATGGCCAGTTTGTTACGCGCACCCTTGGTCGTGCCGAGAGTGTGGATGCATACGCTGCGGATCTGCGCCGGTTGTTGATCGCAGCCGGACATAAAGTCGAAGCGGACGGCAAGTCACCCATGCTCATCGAGCAGTTCATAAGGGGCTTGCCGTCGACAGAAGCCAACCAATTGACATTGAATGGTGACACGTCATCAATTGGAGCCTGCGTGGCGTATGTTCGTCGCCTGCACACTTCGGTGTCGCACATGTCGGGTGGTGTGCCGGCCGTAGCAGCGTCTTCGGTGAAGTCGTCATCCTCATCCAGCGCGAGGACGATCGAGTTCAGTGCTGTGCTTCGAGTGTCATGAAGTCGGGCATATTTCACGGAACTGCCCGAGTAAAGTTATTAAGAAACGACGAGATGGTGCTAGTGGTAACTCAGGTTGGCGTCCGATCTGTCACTTTTGCGATGCGGAGGGACACCTCAAGAAAGATTGTCCCGAGAGAGAAGCGTGGAAGAAGTCCCGCAGTAGTAAGACGTCAGCATCTGCTGCTGCTCCAGTTTCTGGTGAATCCGTTCATCACGTTCTGTGTGTGCCATCGACAAATGTTCGTCTGCCTCGAGTGTACGTCGATGCAAAATTGCCTGGCGGGGAGGAACATCGTGCTGTTGCAGTGGTAGACACGGGATCCTCCCAAACGTTACTGTCTGCCCAGTTGGCTCAGGCGTTGCGCTGCCAGCTGACCCCCTCCAATGCGCAGATTTCTGCAGTTGATGGACGGCCATTGCCAGTCTTGGACGCTACCAGAGTCACACTATCACGACAAGACTCGGCGAATGTTGTGCTGCCGCAGACAGAGGTGGAGGCGCTTGTTGTGGCAGATCTCAAGTCAGTGTGTGCAGATGTACTAATTGGCTTGACCCTGATATCAGCTGTGGGTGAGGTTTGCGTACGCTACGATGGCGATGATCTCGCGTCAGTGGTCTTTACAGCTGCTGAACCTGTCTGTGCTGCCGCCTACAACAGGCTATATGTGTAGCTGGACAACAAAGGTTCAACAGTGCGCATCGTACGTGAACTCTACGCATACAGCACGCACATTGTGACGTACAACTATTTTTCAGGGCCGCACCCGTTTTGCTAGTTTTGAATACAGGCCGCGGCGGCTGTTCAAGGAAATACGGTAGATACATTAATTTAATACACAAGAGAAAGTTGATGGATAAGCCGAGAGCACAGTAGATCAGTAACCACGCGAGCAACAGATTATCAGAGCATCGAGGAGAATGTTTTACTCTCTCAGGCGAGCTGCCAGAACTCGAAATCTTGCCGGGTTACGACGGGGCTCAGTTGGAGCCTGTGCCGGTGGCGGCTGGGTCTGCTGCGCTGCAGTTGTTGCTGGTACTGTTGCTTGCACAGGTGGAGGTGTTGGATTAGCAGCGGCTTCAACACTGGGTGGTGGCGGAACACAAGTCGGCGAATGATCAGCGAGAAAACACAAACTGTAATCAGGCTCTGCCGGTGCTGCGACGGACGGCAAAGGTGCTGCGGTCATTGGTACGAATGACTGCGGAGCGGAAACGACTGACCGGAGCTGTTCCACATGGCACCTCCATTGCTGGTCTGGGCCAACTTTCACAGTATAGTGGCGGGTGCCGTGTACTGCTTGCACGGTGCCCTGAATCCACGGGTGTGATGCGTTGGTAGTCACGTACCATGACTGTGTCATCCACAGCAAACATGCGCTCCCGGTTGCTGACCTCGCATTACTCTGAGCTGCTTGTTTCTTGGCCACAGATGCCTGAACACCGGGCTGGACCAAGGACAACCGAGTGCGTAGCTCACGATGCATTAGCAGGGATGCTGGTATGGCATTCGTTGTTGCATGTGGTGTGGTGCGATACGACAACAGGAAGCGAGGCAAGAACTCGAGCGGTGCTGTGTCCGACAGTGGCGGATCCAGGACTTGGCCGAAGAGGGGGCCCAAGGTATCCCCCCCCCCCAAAACAAAACAACAAAATTAATACAACAACAACAAAGTCCTGAAGTTGTGAACTGCTGTTGTATTTAGGGTCCGGCGGATTCTGCCGGCAGAAAAATTGGCAGAATTCGGTACTTTTTCTGGTAAGTTTCATGCATGTTTGGTATGTGGATAAAAAATGGAGCAGAATTCGAGGAATTGCCCGCCATAAGGTTTGTATGGTTCTGCCAATTTCACTGCTTTTCGAGCAGAATATGCCACCTTTTCGAGCAGAATCCGCCGGTCCCTAGTTTTATTCCATTCTCACGACCTTTCAAACTACACTGGAACATTTCCACTCGACAGCGGCCGCGACGGACCTTTGGACGGCTCTTCAACGCGAGCTCTCTTATCTTTCGGTCCACTGAAGAACGACCTGATGTCAGACGCTTTCCTCTTCATCGCATATCTGAAGGTAACCCGTTGGCTACAAGCGAAGTAGAGAGCTAGAGAGCGTTTAGTTTCTGACAAGTGAAAAAGAAAAAGGAAGGACGAAGTCGACAGCACCGTGCGCCATAGAGGCATACAGGACTTCAGCCCAACGCGATCGCTGCACTATGTACCAGGCCCTGCATTTTTGGCGCGCTTTTCACATGTTTGAAGTGCGGCCATGTCCTCAGGTCGCAGTGCGTACAGCAGTTGTACACAGCGCGCTGATAGTACAGTGCTAGTGCGTGACCCCGGACACGTATAAAAGTACCCAGCACGCGTGACCCACTTGACACGCCAAGTCATTTCGAGCGCTCATTCTACCTACAGTCTACTGTAATCCTAGACCAAGGTCGAAATTTTCAAAGGGGGGGGGGGGCAGGCCCCCCTGGCCCCCCCCCCCCCCTGGATCCGCCACTGTGGACCGAATGGGACTTGAGTGCCTGCTTCATCGTCCGCACGAGTCGTTCGGCCAACCCATTAGTCGCTGGGTGGTGTAGACATCTATTCAGTCACTCACAAGACGGCCATTGTGCTAAACAGATCTTCTTTAGTTCTCTATCAGAGGTGCACCATGTCATCTCTCTCGTGCTATACATAAAGCGGTACAAGCATGTGCATGCCTGCACGTGCTTACATAGTACTACATACAACTGCATGTACGATATCTACATTACCCCCCTTCCCTCAAAAAGAGAAAAAGAAGAAAGAGAAAAAAGGAAAACAAAAAAACAAAAACAAAAACACTTGCATCCGTATCCCGCAGCTTGCAGAGGAATGAGGAATGGACGTACATGTGTTGGAGTAAAAGAGAGACGGGAAGTGTTGCAACTATTTAGAAATAATCTGACTCAAACTTGAGGCAAAAACACCATGAGTTTGAGTTACAATGCAAACTCCACCAATAAGGGGAAAAAATAAAGAAAAAATCTAAATATTCACAAGGTAGTTAGAAGATTCTAAACAACGCCAATCTGGTAGCGATTGAAGTCACTCATTTGGTAATGCATGATTCGACGACTCAGATGTCAGCTTCACGTGCTTTCTCTGTAAGCTTGATCTGACGGCCAGCTCTGGTCTGCACGCCCTCGCGGAATACACTTGGACGAGATGTTGGCGGTGACAGTGACATACAGGCCGGTGTTGCAGGTGGTGCTGTCGTCTCCGGTGAAGCTGCAGGAGGCAACGGCAATGCGAGCGCAGTTACCGGAGCTTCGGGCCTGGATGTTGCGCTGCTCGCTGACGGAAGGCTTGTTGGGTCGGACACTGGCAGTGCTGGAGCACACACTGGCTCTGGCACATGTTCCCTCACTGACTGCGCCGGAGGTTCACTCATGGGTGCTTCCGGCGCTGCTGCTGCTGCTGCTGCTGGTGCTACAAACTCGGTGACGTGCTGACGGTTCCGGAGCAATATGTGTGACCCATCAGTGACCCCAACCTGACGACCATACTGCTCTACTACCTTCCATTCTTTTCGAGGGTCGCTATACCCATCATGGAGCACTACCCGCGTACCTGATGGCAAATGGGGTAACTTGCGGACACCTCGGCGCGAGTCATGACCTTCAACCATTGCTGCTTTCGCCTTGATCTACTCAGATGGGTTGATGATCTGTGGGGTGATGGATGCTGGAACCCGTGTCCGAATGACTCTGCTAAACAACGCTTTGCTAGGCGATGTACCTAGCATCCGGTGCCGCGAATTGCGAATGTCGAACAAGACTTGAGTGATGCGGCGGTGTAGCGGTAGATGAGGTCTCAGACTTGCAACTCGTTTTTTCACCAGACGTTGTAGTCGCTCCACCATACCGTTAGAGAGGGCATACCAGGGGCTAGACTTGCAATGCTCAACACCCAACTGAGCGAGAAACTTGGACATCTCGGTGGATGCAAACTGTGGGCCCCAATCCGAGACGAGTGTTGAAGGCAGACCAAACCGTGCGAACAACTCCATCAGCTTGTCGATCACTCCCGTTGTCGTAGTATTGGACAGTGGTAGAAGCTCTGGCCAGCGAGAACCATAATCAATACCAGACAGGAACGTGGCTCCCTCAATGGTAACAAGATCAATGGCCAGTTTCTGCCAGTCACCTTCTATCTCTGTAGGGAGGAGCTGTTGCGCTGGATTGGAGCGTTTACGCCAGCATTCAGAGCATTTCTCTGAAAACATTGGTCCTTCGAGCCGGATTCTCTGCGGAGAGGGTCTGGCATCGCCATACTCGAACTAACCAGAGAGCTGAGGAGCGTCGCGGATTGACGCCACAGCGAACCTATGTACACCACACGAAGTGGCCGTCTGTCTCGTGCACCGACGCGATTCGGAGACGACGACAACGCAGCAGCAGCAGCGGCAGCAGCCCAGGACGCCTCCGGAAAGTCAACGCAGATGGCTGACATCGTTAAGACGGAACAAGAGGCTGAGCTAAGTGAAATCACTCGAGGTGTAGCTGGAGAAAGCACCAACCAGTTAGATCCTGGTCTCCACACACCAAATAATTATGTGCCTTTTTTCTCTGCTGTTGGTAATACTAATGTTAGTAGTTCCACGAATGAGTTTGTTCACGAAAGTCATGAAAACAAATTTGAAACATGTAATGCTTCCTCTACAAGTAGGCTGTTTTCATATTCGCACACACGCACCTCACAAATGCATGCAAACAATGATCCCGTACACACACCACATCATGTAGCTGTAGATTTAGCACCTCGCCAGCCGTACGCTAGCGCTGGCCAGTCCATTTTAGGTTCCGATTTGCATGACACTCACACGCGCTCTGTGACCCAGGCTGTTCCCTTTTTGCCTCATGCACACCAAAAGCGCGTCCAGTACACAAACGACGCGCAGATCGGCGAAAATGCAGGCCTTGCTGCAGCCAGCGCAGGGTACCAAAACGGGAGCAGGTCGATGAGCGCTCGTTCACTCACCATTTCATCAGCAACGTCTTGCAGCAGCCGGCGCTCGCTCCGCTCGATCGACGAGCTCGACGCGGAAGCAGAACGTATCGCCGCGGAGGAGCTTGCAGAAGTAGAACGAAAGCTGATCCGCAAGAAGCTAGAACTCCAGAAGAAGTGGAACAGAAACCGGTCAAGCGGCAGCAGTAATGCCAGCGTCCGATCAAGTTCGTCCCGTCGATCACGGGAGACCGGCAACGGATCCGAGCTCACATGCGCGGATCGCATTAGCCTAGCTGAGCATGCACAGCGCGCCGAGTGCGCGGAGAGAAACATGGGAGCAGCGCTGGAGGAAGCCAATGGTCAAATTCAGGATCTGTTACTGGACCACCAAGTCCAAGGTGAGCGGGCTTCAGGGAACGAGCCCAATGGCACACGTCCTACCCCTGCAAGTGCAAGGCAGTTACACCCCATGAATCTCACCACCCACCATTTCATGGCAAGGCAGTCCACTGCCAAGGACTTGCCTCAGTTCTTTGGACATGCTGACGAGTTGCCAGCATTCATCTTCACCCTGGAGCACACAACAAGAGAGTGCGGATTCTCGAACGGGGAGAACCTTGGATGACTGCAAAAAGCGCTGCGCGGAAAGGCAAAGGAAGCTGTACAGGGGATGATGACTCTCCCCGACAATGTAGGGGAGGTCATCTCCATCTTGAGGATGAGGTTCGGCCGGCCGGACCAGATTGTCCAGAATCTCATTCTGAAGACAAAATCACAGAGAGGCATGAAGTCGGAGGAGGCCATCGAGGTACTGATTGAAATCAGCGCTCTGTGCCGCAACCTTGTTGCCACCATGCGAAGCACAAAGTGCGCCGGCCATCTCTACAACCCTCAATTGGTCAAGGAGCTAGTTGGCAAGCTGTCTGGGGGGGGGGGGGGGGGGCTCCGGATCCAGTGGGGAGAGTACGTGCCTAAAACCAGCACAGACCCGCACCTGGACACCTTCTCTTCCTGGCTTGAACAGATGGCCAAGGCTGCATGCCTAGTCGCTCAGCCGAACCCATGTGACGTCACTCATGCCACTCCACGCACAGGCCAAACGTTCACAGTCGTGGAGGCCACCGCTGGTAAGCCAGATTGCCTCTTCTGCAGCAAAGCGGGGCACACAACAAGTAGCTGCCGCCAGCTAGTCGCGGAACCACTCAACGCCCGCCGGCAGTTCGTTAGTGACAGACGGTTGTGCTTCCGCTGCCTTGGCGAAGGCCACCTGGCGAGGGTATGTGAGGAGAAAGCCTGCTCGTGTGGCAAACCCTACCATCCTCTACTACACCCTGATGGCCGCGGAAGTGTAGCACCGCAAGAACGCATGTCAGAGACGACATACACCTCGGTACCCAGGTGTCGGAGCACAGTGGAAGGGTGCTGCTGAGGGTGATTCCGGTCACGGTACGAAACGGAGACACAGCAGCTGACACGTACGCACTCCTGGACGAAGGCTCACCAGTGTCCTTGATTGAAAGCGAACTGGCGAAGGAATTGGACTTGCAGGACCAACGCGGCCCCTAAGGCTGTCATGGACGGATGGCAAGCAGCACCAGGAGTCCAGCTCCAAGGTAGTAACATTCAGCGTAGCTGGCAGGCAGAGACAGGACAGCTTCACCTTAACAAACGTCCACACTCATGCCAAGTTCAACCTCCCAACACAATCAATCAACCCTCAACGGCTGAAAAACTGCCCCCACCTGGAGGGACTTGAACTACCTACGCTGTCCTGCACCAAGCCCAGACTCCTAATCGGACAGGATAATTACAGCCTGATTGCACCACGGGTGATCGCGGAGGGCCCACCAAACGCACCCGTAGCTACACAGACCAAGCTAGGGTGGGTTGTTCATGGCAAAACGAGTGCCGACCGCTGCAGAATCGACGAAGGCGTGGTCCTCTCCACCTGGGGTCTCGACAGCGACCTCCATGACCTGGTCAAGCAGTCGTTCGCCCTAGACTCCCTCGGGGTCAAGCCCGCGAAAATCCATGTTTTCGTGATATCCTAGTGCCCCGTGGCACAACCCTCGTGACAGACACAAGCTCCTAATTCTCTTGTTGGTTAGAAGGTGTTCTTTATTGATCTGTCCCTGTTCTCGGGAGTTGTGTGATTATAAGAAAAATAGTGTGCAAAGTGAGTCGGACATGTATGGCAAAGTGTTATATCGTGCTCTTTACAGTGGGTGCCCAATCGGGCAAAGCACAAACGAAAAGGGTGCCGCGAGTCAGTGCTGTCATGCAGCAACACAGATTGGCATCCTTCATAACACCTGGCCACCAAACCCGTTCGCGAAGGGTATCCCGGAATGCATCGATGCTTGGATGACCTTCATGTGCTTGTCAAAGCACCGCTGGGCGGAGCTCTTCTGGAATGACGTAGCGATTGTCTAGCATGGCAATCCCCTCAATGACTTTCAGCTGATGGCGTAGCAGAAAGTAAGGCTCTTCTGTTTGGATGCACCCTGACCAAACTGATATGCCCACTCTTTGTCGGACGCTGCTCAGTGTCGGATCAGAGTCCGTGGCTTGGCGAATATCCTTGGAACAAACCGGACAAGCCTCGAGAATGAGACTAACGAATTCCGCCATTGAACGTGCCTCTGCAGGTGAAGCTGTGCGATCAGGTAGAGGAGCTCGAGAGAGTGTGTCAGCAAAAACCATCTGCTGACCAGGGATGAATACCAAGCTGTAGCGATAGGGCATCAATGCGACCATCCATCTCTGAAGCCTCGGTGGCACTTCGTCGAACGGCTTCTGGACGATAGAAATAAGCGGCTTGTGATCTGTAAACACTTGCACTTCTCGGCCCAGTACATACTGCCGAAAGCGAGTCAGGCCAAATACCACTCCCAGCATCTCTCGTTCCAGCTCAGAATAGCGTGACTCAACATCTGATAGAGAGCGACTGGCACATGTCACTGGTACCCAACAGCCACTGGTATTCTTCTGCCACAGGACTGCTCCCAAACCGTCTGGCGATGCATCACAGCTGATAGCAGTAGGGACGTCCAATGCTGGTTGAAAGAATGCCAACGCTTGCAAAGCTATATCAAAAAAGTATTCTTTCTAGACCAAAGAGTGGTATATTTGATAACATTTAATAACGATAGAAATATTTACGTTACTTCGCCAGACGTTTCGTTGTTCTGAACAACATCGTCAGTGGATAAAGAATTCTTTCTTTATCCACTGACGATGTTGTTCAGAACAACGAAACGTCTGGAGAAGTATCGTAAATATTTCTATCGTTATTATTATTATATATCATGTCAGTTTTGTGCCTAGTTGTTGCACTTTCTGACTGTATATAGTATCTAGATACAGTGGTGGAGAGTTACTCTTAACTCGTTTCCATATGTCCTTTTCCTTTCTACTGTTATTAAATGTTATCAAATATACCACTCTTTGGTCTAGAAAGAATACTTTTTGATATTACAATGAGAGTGAATAATCAACGGCTTGTCCACCAATGCTTGCAAAGCTGACGCTATACCAGCCTTTGCCGAGGTGTATGCCTGCAGGACTTCATCATCTACACTGAAGGGATCACGCTTTGCTAGCCTGCGCAGAGAAGCCGTGATCTGGGCCAAGTTCGGAATGAAATTTCCAAGGTACGTAGCCATCCCCAGGAAACGTCGCACATCAGAGATAGATTTCGGAGGGGCCAGCTCCTGGATGGCTTGTAACTTGCCATCATCTGGGGACAAGCCGGTCGCACTTAGCCAATGTCCCAGATACTTCACACGGTCCTGGTTCAGTCAGCACTTGGTCCAGTTGAGTTGGAGGTTAGCTGCTAACAGTCGCTGCTTGACTGCTTCTAGCCGTGCATCGTGTTCTGCTTGACTGGAGCCAAACACTAGGATGTCGTCGATGTAGACGATGACTCCTGGCAGGCCTTCCAGAATGTCGGACACCACTCGCTGGAAAATCTCAGGCGCACATGCAATACCGAAAGGTTAACGTTTGAAACAGAACAGACCACAGTGCGATGAGAAAGTCGTTAGAGGCCTTGCTTCGTCTGAAAGGAGTAGCTGATGGAATCCAGATTACGCATCCAGAACTGAGAAGACCCCTGCGCCATCAAGCTGAGCTGTGATCTCGTCAACGGTTGGAAGCACATTGCGGTCACGTGTAACTCTCTTAATCAGTTCTCTGTAGTCCACACATAGTCGCAATGCTCCATTCGGTTTGCGGACTGGAACAAGTGGTGACACCACGGCCTGGCTTTCTTGACGGGTTCAATGATATCCAACTTGGTCAGCCGTTTCAGCTCGGTCTCGATGTCAGCCCGGATACTGAAAGCTGGGTGTCGTGGTGGCTGGGCTAGAGGCTTTGAACCGTCTTCCAGAGAGATTTCGATGGGTGTCACGTTCACCACGTTTGCTTTTGACAGGAGGTTCAGCTCCTTGATGACATCCTGTCCAAATGGAACGAAGTGCTGACTGGCTGCTACCACGAAACAACTGCACTTCACGTTCTTGCCACCATGTGAAATGTGGACGTCAGCCATGCCCAAAGTCTCTACGACACTGCCATTGTACGCTTTCAGCAAGCAGTCACTCTTGCGCGTTGGCTTGATCACATCATCAGTGAGGATTGCACCTGTGTCTAACAGGCCAGTGCACAGCTCACCATTGACTTTGAGTGTAGTCTGGAATGTCTTGTCGCCTGCGAGTGCCGAGCTACTGACGGCGAAAGCAGAGTCGTACATGCGACTTGCATGCTCATACTCATCAGGCTCATCCTCTACTGGCCGGGCTCTTTCTTCGTATCTTTCCACTTTGTTTGACATGCACACCGCTGCAAAATGCCCTTGCTTGCCACACTTGTTGCAGGTGATGTTGGCCGCAGGACAGTTACACATGCCTGGTTTGTGGCTACGTCCGCAGTATTTGCACTTCTTTCCACCCTCTGATCCAGAACCAGCTGCAGAGACAGCTTGCACATGCTGGATGGGCATGGGGAACACAGGCGGTGCGTCACTAGCTCTGGTACTATCGTACAGTTTACTGTCAGTAATCGACGCTTCCAACGCCACTGACTTGGTGATGGCATCGTCCAGGGTCAGCTTCGACTGTTTCAGCAGCTCCTTTCGAAGCTCAACAGAACGCAGGCCCACTATCAGCTGGTCTCGAATTAGGCAGTTGACAACGGTATCCACAGAAGTGGAGCTGAATTCGCAAACATCTGCCTTTTCTCTCATCCGCCCAACGAATGAAGTCACTGACTCGCCCTCCATTTGGCGGAGTTGGCGGAATTTGTGACGTTCAGACGTGACATTTGTTGACGGTTGAAAGTGTGCCAACAATGCGTCCGTCAAGGCTTGGTACTCATCTCCAGGTGAGCCATCTTGTGTCTACTCCACCGTGACAACCAGACCTTTCACAATGCGCCTCACTGCTAATCCAGCCAGATTCAAGAACAAGCGTTTCTTGTCAGCTACTGCTGTCACTTCACTGATTGAAAGGAAATCATTTTATGTCCTCGAGCCAGAGTTCAAAATCAGCACTGACGTTGCTCGCAGCATATTCATGAACAAATTCCTTGGGCGTCCTGCCCTTTGTCATTTTCGTTCAAGGCGCCAATGTAGACATCTATTCAGTCACTCACAAGACAGCCATTGTGCTAAACAGATCTTCTTTAGTTCTCTATCAGAAGTGCGCCATGTCATCTCTCTCTTGGTATACATAAAGCGGTACAAGCACGTGCATGCCTGCACGTGTGTACATAGTACTACATACAACTGCATGTACGATATCTACAGGTGGTACGGTGCTGAGAAGGTGTGGGTAATGCCGTTGGCTTCAGTGAAACGACGGAACTCATCGGATGTGAACTGCGGGCCATTATCACTGACGATCTGGTCAGGCAAACCATGCTGGGCGAATACTTCCCGGAGACGGCGATTGGTGACTGGAGCAGTGGTGCTGTTCATTGGCAGAACGTCCGGCCACTTACTGTGGGCATCCACCATGATCGGCCACATGTGCCCTTGGAACGGTCCTGCAAAATCAATGTGGAGGCGTTGCCATGGCTTGGATGGCCACTCCCAGGGATGGAGTGGTGACTTTGGTGGTGCTGCCTGGTGTGCCTGGCAGCCAGCACAGACCTTGCCGGTTGTCTCGATGTCAGCGTCAATGCCTGGCCACCAAATGAAGCTACGGGCCAAAGACTTCATACGAACCATGCCTGGATGGCCTGTGTGCAGTTCCTCGAGTACTCGCTTGCGTAGTAGGGGTGGGATGACAACCTGGATTCCCCACATAAGACATCCTTGGTGCAGTCCCAGTTCATTCTTGCGCCTCGCAAATGGCTGCATGTCACCGTCGGTTGGGGAGTGTGACCACCCGTCACGAACACCAGCTAGGACCTTTGCCAAGACTGGAGCACGAGCGGTGTGGCGAGCGACTTCCACGGCTGTCACTGGAAGCGGATCAATCTGGGCCATGTTGAATACTTCTGCCCAGTCCAGGCTCTCCTCTTGCGTGTGCGGCAAGGGCAGTCGTGATAAGCCGTCAGCATTTCCATGATCACCTGACTTGCGATACTTGATCTGGTAACTCATACTGGCCAGGAATATGGCATACCGCTGTAGACGCGCTGTCGTCAGAGCTGGCAATCCTTTGCTCGGACTGAAAATGGCTGTCAGAGGCTCTTGGTCTATCAGCAGCATAAACGATCATCCGAACAGATACGTGTGAAACTTACGGACCCCCAGACGATAGATAAGGCCTCCTTATCTATTTGGGCATACCGCTTCTCGGTCTCGGTAAGCGAACGTGACGCGAAGGCAATCGGCCGTTCCGTACCGTCCGGCAGAACATGCGAGAGCACCGCTCCCAGGCCGTAGGGTGATGCATCAGTTGCCAACTGTACCGGCAGGTCGGGATCAAAATGCATGAGTACCTGATCCGAGGCGATAGCTGCCTTGATGGTCTTGAATGCTGCTGCACAGTCAGCTGTCCAATGCCAGGACTGACCCTTTCGGAGCAGGCGGTTGAGAGGGTGCAGAGTCGTGGAGCAGTCCTTCAAGAAGCGCTGGTAGTAGCATACCATACCCAGAAAGCTGCGCAGCTGGGACACGTTCTGTTGTGCAGGGGCCTCATTGATCGCCTTGATCTTGTCATCAGTCTTGCGCAAACCGTGGCGACTGACAATGTGACCACAGTACTCCACTGCATCTGCGAAGAACGTGCACTTCGCTGGATTGACTCTCAGGCCGTGGTTGGAGAGACGACCCAAGATGCTCTCCACATTGTCCAAATGTTTGTCGTCGTCGGGACTGGTGACGATGATGTCATCTAGCAGGCAGGCCTGACGTGGAACGCCATGCAGGGTGCGGTCGATGGCCTGCTGCCACAGCGCTGGTGCGGAAGCCACACCAAATCCGAGACGGTTGAGCTGATTCAAGCCCAGGGGCGTTGTCAGTGTGAGAAGTGGCTTCGATTCCTCCTCTATTTCCATCTGGAGGTACGCTTGTTTCAGATCGATCTTGGCGAAGCGTTGTCCTCCAGCCAGAGTGGCGAACACATCTTCCACACATGGAAGAGGGTGTTGATCTGTAGTAGCTGGCCCTCGGAGACAATTTCACACACTCAAATAAAGCACTCACTTTGTGGTTTTACGAATACTCGTAAGGACAGAATATTAGTTGCACACTCGGCAAGTAAAGATAAGAAGTGAAAGAGCACAAGAAAAGACCAATGCAAGAAGACAAAACACACGGCAAGCGGCAGCCATGTTTTAGATTATTAACCAATCAGCAATCTACGAAAACCGGTCGCCGACGAAATTCTAGAAACATTAGCATAATTGACCAATCACAGTTCACAGCTCGGGAACATTCTGGAACAATAATACTAGCAGCCAATCACAGTTCACAACAGACAGTCGTACGGGTAAAGTGAGGAAATACGGGTTTAGCCAAACACGACTCATACATTACTCACGAACGACTCACGGAAAGGGTAATAACATGCAGATACAAAATACGCAAGGAGAGAAAAATGTAACTAACTGCCTATCTTGGGGTTTGAACCTAGGAATCTGTATCAACACAAGCTCTACAAATAAATACTCTTTTACTGCGAAAAATATACCTAACCCACATGCATGCACGCATACACACAATAAAACTTAAAACAAACAAAACATCAATATGCACATTTATCCGGACACGCTCTCACATACACACGCACGCATGTGCGTGCCAAACGTACAAAACGTGGACACATGTACACCAAGCAGATAGAATACAAGGAAGTGGGGTTTGCCATAGTTTTTTTTTCTTTCAATTTTGTCTGTTAAATATTTACAAGACTTTGCATCGAGCGACACCGTGGATAACATTGAGCCAAGAATTATGCAATAAACCAGAAGAGATATCTCTTCACAAGGAGGCAAATAAATGCGTAGGTGCCCGGCAACAGCAATCGGGCGAGTCACAGAAATGTACGTATTGCAACTTCAATGATACACATACACGGTTGACCACCCATGCCTCAAACTGGCGGGTCAACCACATGGTGACCCGGCAACTTCAAACGGGAACACACCGATACAACATACACAGTTGACCACCCATGCCTCAAACCAGCGGGTCAACCACATGGTGGCCCGGCAACTTCAAACGGGAACACACCGATACAACATACACAGTTGACCACCCATGCCTCAAACCGGCGGGTCAACCACACAACAACATACAGGTGTCACAACACTGAGACAGTACAGCACAACACTGAGAGGCAAATGCATTTGACCCTCCCAAAAACCAGTGTTCACGACCAAGCATTTCTCACGGCATCGCTCATTAGCATAACTTCCTACAAGTAACCATAGCAAACCCCTATGTGATACCCACAGAGCCACACCGGCACAAGGACTGCACAACAAGCGGACTGAACGACACTGTACAACACTACAAATGTACCTCACCTCTGTTCTCAACACCACATGAGCGTGGGCTGTTCCAGTCTTTGCTGCTAGCCATTGCACAGAGGGCATACCGGCTGCACGCCTGACATAGTGATCGGATGATGCACATCGCCAGCAGCCTGCACGGCATATGGCTGCTTTACAGACACTTGTACTCTGGTGAGCCATGAGCGTGGCCCCGCCAATGCGCACAGAAGGGGAGCTCACCCGGTTGCAGTTGAGGATCTTAGTCGAGCAAACTCGGGAGAAGTAGCCGCCATCGACGAACACAAACACTGGCCGTGAGCTGCCGGCAGTAGCGGTCAGGGACCGGAACTTGGCCATAGCCGAACCTGGGTACTGTAGTGGTTCTACAAAAGCACCAAAGACATCTTGTAACTAGCTTCGTTACTACAAATCACAAGTGTGTGGGAATACAGAGAACGACAGAGAGATCAAAGGAAAAGCCAGGCAGGCAGGTACAGCTAAAGTGCGTACGGTACAACTGGCATGTCATACAGCGCGGCTGGATGAATGCATACATGTTACATAAAAGGATGCAATGACAAACAGTGGGATGTGCATCCACTACAGGTACATCAGATTATGTGTGCGCAAATACCGGGCTTAAAGGTCTGAGTCGCTCATGAGATCATTGCTGGCAACAATCAGAGTGGCGAGTTGAGCGGAGAAGTTGGCACCAGGCATTGGTTGGCTGTGGATGCCAGTTCTCGGAAGGGAGTAATCATAATAGGTTCATGCTGCATCTCAGCGGCCCATTGCCCCAAGAACGATTGTCCTTGATAGAAACCGCAGAAGCCAACATCAGAGGCATCCGTGAATAGCTCAAGGTCAGGGGACTTTGAACGCTCGACATCGTAGAAGAAGGATTGGCTATTCCAGTTTGCGACAAAGGAGCGCGACCATTCGATGTCCAAGCGAGCTTCTGTGTCGATGTTGACTACTGACTGAAGAGACGGAGTTGTCCAGCTAAGATACAGACGTTGGCGGATGAAGGTTCTGCCAGGAGGAACCACCTTGGCGGCAAGGACAAGGTTCCGATCAGTGACAGCAGTTACCGCATTGTGTAGCTAGTGCGCGTGGACTACTCAAAGCCGCTAGAAAGGCAAATAACTTCTGGTCAGGTAGATAGAGTAATGCCACGTGCACAGCAGATGTGGTGCATAACGAACGCACAGTGGGCATAAAATCTTCATATCCACATCAAGGGCCACAAGCGTTTGAAAACCACACCTGATACGTAGATGATCAACGATCGTCTCTGCACTCAACGTCGCTCCAGCAGTAGTAGCATGTTGCAAACCACCATCGTACGCTGTCCATGTGAATGCCTCTGGTCCTTGTCTACTTCTTTGGCTAGATTTTTTGACAGGTAATCACAGCCATTTCTGAGTTGGCGTCAACGACACTCGCCATGTCGAGGCCTAAATAACTGGTTCTCTGCTTCGAGTAGTTCTTGCTTGGCCTCATGAGCTCCAGGAAATTCACTACTGCGACCATGAGCTACTTTGTCTGCCCACGCAACAAATAAATATTTCAACCAAGCGCGATCGATCGCTGTTTGAAGTTGTGAATTTTCAAGCGCTTCCAGCTCACACGAGTCAGCGCCTGTCTACGCAGACTAGCACAACTGATACTCTTGTACAGCTTGGCGGAGAGACAAAGGAGAAAACGGAGAAAACACGACCTTGAGTCACTTTGACTAACTGGATGACAGAAATTGTTGACAAGGAAGTTGCTTTGCTGACACGAGGCAGGGCAAAGCGGCCACGCAAGATTATTATTATTTTATTCATCCACCATTTTCGGAAAAAATAATTTTTATTCATGTGCCGCGTGACGAACCCGTGACAAAACACGTGCATGCGTGGGCTAACTTGGCTTTGCTGCTCAAAGCCGTCATTTTATATCAAAATCCAACTACTACTGCACAATCCATGCGGTCTCACGCTTTCTCAGATCGAATCATTTTGTGTTGTAGCAGTTGCAGGGCAGATCCCCGCCACTACTTCAACAGGGTTTAGCTCCAAAGCATGCCTGGAACAAGCCATATCGAGGTTCCAAGCCACCCCTCTCATCAAGAAATTCGAAATTTCAATGGTGGAAGATATACCGTAAAATCCCGCCAGAGAGCCCCTACCTCCTCGACGCTTCAGCCTGAGTTCAGATGGGGAGGGGCGGATGGGTGAGTCCTACTTGCCGCATTCAGTGCTACATGAAAAACTACTCACCCTTCGAAAACTGTTCGTGCATCTCGTACACCGACCAAAGGTCAAGAGCCAGGAGTCGCACAGACCTGACAAAACGCAGGGTTTGGAGGGTTTGTGTGATCCATGGTCAAGAGGGTGGTCACTGTTGCGTACATTTCCAACGGAGTCGAGCACGCGTCTGCAGTACTGTACGGCATCACAGACTGCGACAGAGTCATACGGGGATACAATCAGTCACGTCGCTGACAAGAAGTCAGGGAGGGGCGGATGGGGGAGACGGGGCGCTCTGGCGGGATTTTACGGTACTATGAAGAGAATTTCAAAAATATGGCTCGCAGGGTGATCGTTCAAACGTTGCAGGATTTTTCTGACCTACGGGCTAGACAGATACTAAATTAGTGGATGCCGTCATCTTCTTCCCGCGGGTTTTAATGTACTAGGATGTGCTATTTTGCCTGACGACACCACAAATGTCCTGCTCCTGCGTTTGCACAGCTCCAGTTCAACCAACTATTAATACTGCGGTGACAAAAGCCCCGAAAAGCCTGGCTATACGATGGACAGGTCTGACTAACGCCCAATGGAATGGTCATACCAAAAGAAAGTATGTTGTTACTTGCTCTTCTATGACAGCGGGCTCTGGACCACCTGGAACGTGGTCTGGTACCGCTGACTCTGCAACAGTTGCTATGCTGAAGCATGCTACTGATTATAGTTGTACTTTAAAAGCCAAACACACTGGAGGGGAGAGCAAAGGGTCTAGTGTTTCGGCTAAAACCACTGAAGCTAGTAAGTACACGTGATGCGCACATGCCATTACAGCATAATGTGGGTGTATGCTGTACCTCACTCATAATCAGCATTCTCATGCTGTTATAAGATTCACGATTTGGGTGGCTATGAGTCAATCTCCAAAATATCTGGCTACGTAGTTATGTTCTCTTTGCTTATATATAACACACTATCGCAGTGTGTAAGTGTGTGTGTGTGTGTGTGTGTGTGTGTGTTGTTGCTGTTGTTGTTGACTTTTATTTTACTTCACCAATTGCACAGGCATGATTGCCTTCTTACCGGCCCATAGGTCCGGTTCCCACAGAAAGATGAAGGAAATTAAATGAGGAAATGTATACAGATAAAGACATGCAAATGGTAAAGTTATTATTATAGAAATGTTTGTTATGACATTGTGTGTATCATGACACTCAATTTGTGTGAATTTTTAAATTGCGATAACAAATGTACGTGTTTGTGTGAGTGTGTGTGTGTGTGTGTGTGGGTGGGTGTATGTGTGTGTGTGTTTGTGTGTGTGTGTGCTTGCGTGCGTGCATCCGTGCGTGCGTGCATGCGTGTGTGTGCGCGTGTGTGAGTATGGCCTTGTCATGGGAAAGGTCTTCAGGGCATGTTTGTTAAATCTCGTCATGACTGTAACTCCTGCTTGCTTCCCTTGCTAGGTGCTGCTATGCTAGGCTATGCCATGCTGGTTTGTTTGAATTATTAAATTTTCTTGACCACGCGTTTTGGCGACCACGCCAGGATCTGAGACGCATGGCTCAGTTAGAGGCTAAGCTGACTTTGAACGGTCAGGCGTATGGCTAGAGACAATGCGGAGCTGCGGCTGAGGGTTGCGGAGTTAGAGGAGCCCATCACGCAGACCAGACCCTCTAGAGACGACAGCAGAATCCTGAATAGTAGTGCCATTACGAGGAAGCCAGCCATCAAGATGCCTAAGTTTGATGGTAAGCAAACGGTAGAGTCCTACCTTGAGTTATTCGAGCACGTGGCGGCACAGAACGAGTTTAGTGAAGACGAGTACCTGATCAGATTGCACATCGCTGTGTCAGGTGGCAAGCTAGAGAGCGCATGCTATGGATGCAGCATGTTTGCGGACGCCAAGCGTGAGCTGCTGACTTCACATGGAAAGACCGCCGACAAGGCTTGGCAGGTTGTTGTATTTTGTTGTTGTATTTTATTATTTTACTGGGGCATTCTCATGGCAGGTATTGGTGTCCATGGTGCAAAAGAGCGATGAGAGGTTTTACCAGTTTGTGGTACGAACAACAAGAGAAACAGAGAAGTGGGCGAAACTTGCAATGCCGAGTTATCGACCCGCAGAACGTCGGCACGCAGTGGGACCAGCCAGGTGGACGAGACTGGACTGTTTGCGTCAATAGTACGGCAAATGCTGCTGAAGTCTGTCGGTACTAACATGAAGGCATTCATGATTGAGAAAAAGTGTTATACCAAGGACATGAAAGCATTCGCCGAAGACGGTATGGCCTATGAAACCGCCCATGGTCGTATGACGAAGACGACAAAACCGATCATGGGTGACGAGCATCAATTTGCGTCAGCAGAGTGCCTGACTGTCGGGGTCAAGTTGTAGGGTCCAGCTAAGTGCGCTGCCCAACCAGCAGCTGTCAGTTTCAGCTGTGTCGATATAGACCGCTAATGGAAAAATGGAAGAATTTCCCGAAGTCACCAAGATGTTACCCGACTTCCCGATTGATGGTTGCGGTACATTCTACCAGGTTGGATTGCTGTGATGACTGGAGAAGCCCCCCCCCCCCCGCCACAGTCAACCTCAGCAAACCGATGGCAGCGGCGAAAGCGCTACTGAAGCAGTTGGAGCGCAAAGGTCAGCGGACAGCATATGGTGAAAACCTGATCAACCATTTTAGTGTTGGACGCCATCGAGAAAGAGCCACACCCAGAGAGTGCTGGTTACTACATGCCACATCACGCAGTATTCCGCCGCGGCGATACAACAACAAAGACATGAGTCGTCTTCAACGCGTCGGCTGCGTGCACCGGAGCAGCATCGCTTAACAACATGGTCGATCCTGATCCGTCACTGCTGCCAGATCTCACCGGTATCCTGTTCAGGTTGCGTGAGTATCCGTCGGTATGTCTTGCTGCGAAGTTGTTGTCATTTGTTGTCAACGAATTGAGAGTGCTGATTCAGAAGATTGTGAGTTGGACCGACAGTCTCTCAATGTGGCCCTGGATACTCGGCCTAAATTGTGATTCAGTTGGCTGAAGCCGCCTTTGGTGGGGAGAATGTTTCAAATCTTTATTCACACGATAGCCAGTGGCCAATAAGAGATAATAGTGTAA